CTCTCTCTGTCTCTCTCTTTCTCTCTCTCTGTCTCTCTGTCTCTATCTCTCTCTCTCTCTCTCTCTCTCTCTCTCTCTCTCTCTCTCTCTCTCTCTCTCTCTCTCTCTCTCTCTCTCTCTCTCTCTCTCTCTCTCTCTCTCTCTCTCTCTCTCTCTCTCTCTCTCTCTCTCTCTCTCTCTCTCTCTCTCTCTCTCTCTCTCTCTCTCTCTCTCTCTCTCTCTCTCTCTCTCTCCCTCTTTCTCTCTCTGTGTGTGTCTGACTCACCACCGCACTCATCATCATGTTCACCATGACGAATAGGGTGCCCACCGTCATCGCTGTCAGCCCAAAGCGGCAGAAGTTTGCGCTTCAGCTTGGCGCATTCTCCCCGGTACGCAGGCATGCATGCTCATTTGTCTGGTGTCATGCTTGCACACACTCGCGTGCTTGCTTCCTTCACACTTGTGCGACGGGCAAAGCACCCACACGTGGATGTTTGCACATTCATACATTCTCGCTCCCTTGTTCCTGTGTTTGTTCCCCTGGCACGTGTGTGTGTGTGTGTATGCGTGTGTGTGTGTATGTATGTGTGTGTATATGTGTGTGTGTGTGTCTTGCAGAAATCCATCTCCGAATTCATCACGGGCGTGCTGACGGGACGTGTGAGCATCCAGCCCTTCTCTCAGGTGAGAGAGCAAGAATTGTGCATGTGTGTGTGTGTGTGTGTGTGTAGTGTAGTGTATGTGTGTGTGCGTTTGTGTCTCTGTCCGTCTGTCCGTCTCTCTGTCCGTCCGTCTGTCCGTGCTAGCCATGTCATTTCTCGCAAGCATGCGCTCAACCACAACAGCCGAGCGTACATGTTCACCCCGATGCATGTGCAATCTCCTCACCTGCTCCTCCTTGACTGTGCCCCCCTCCCCGACCAGATGCCGTCTGTGGGCGCGGACGACGACTGCACTGCGGCGCACGCGGCGTTTGCTCTTCCGGTCGAGGAGGAGGACGACATTGACCTCGACGATATCATGGCGTACGACGACTGGTGGCCGTGACTGCTGACGGTGGTGGTGGAATGGCAGCTGGGCTTTCAACTCTCATGTCATGGGAACCAGATGCCTCCGTTGCTTCCCCTCCCCGCACACACACACTTTTGCATGCGTTTACGCCCTCCCTCTCGTTGTGCTGCAGTGAGATCCTCGAGGAAGAGGAGCGCAAGGGTGCGGAGGAGGATGATGCCGCTGCGGATATGGCGGCGCAGGCCGATGCCATTCGCGCTCGCGAGGAAGAGGCCGAGCTCGAGCACAAGCGCAAGCTCGCACAACTGGAGATTGAACGCCTCAACCGCGCGTCAAACGTGAGCCCCCTTGCTCTGTGGTTTGTTTGCTTTGCTTTGCTTTGCTTTGCTTTGCTTTGCTTTGCTTTGCTTTGCTTTGCTTTGCTTTGCTTTGCTTTGCTTTGCTTTGCTTTGCTTTGCTTTGCTTTGCTTTGCTTTGCTTTGCTTTGCTTTGCTTTGCTTTGCTTTGCTTTGCTTTGCTTTGCTTTGCTTTGCTTTGCTTTGCTTTGCTTTGCTTTGCTTTGCTTTGCTTTGCTTTGCTTTGCTTTGCTTGGTGTTGGGTTGCTTACTGTATGGATTAGTGTGCTGGCTTGCTTTGCTTTG